AGGACTGTACTCAGGGCTAGTGCACTATACATCTAATAACCCTCGCAGGCCTTAAACTGCAATGGTAATCCAGACCCATAAACAAACAACTGTGGCCCGAGTACTCACGTGGGTGACAGTGTGACTGGTTTGTGATTAGAACGTTTTTTTCTTTTCCTTTTTCTACTGACGGTATGCGTGACTTCATTCACAAAATTACACTTGTCAATGGGCGCAGCCATTTTGTTTTTGCTAAGCGTCATGGGTAATCGTCCAATCGTCTCCCTTCAATTCTGATGGGCTTTTGACCGGGGCTTTTGACGACTTCTAAATGACAGCCAAACGAGTTATGAATATAATGTAGCATTTGCAAATAGTTCGACATTTAATTAATTTAGATTTGTAAACTTGAGCTTGTCTAATGACGGCCAAGTGTATTTAAAACTACATTCATACAAATCAGTATCAATCAGTCCCTGAAAAGCTTGCAGCCAACTTTCAAACATACTGTTTAGATTCAATGTATGATGATAATAAGGGAACAAAACATCAGAATAAACTCCGCACATACAGACATCTAAAAACAAAATTCACTTCGAAAAATATTTAGAAACTGTGCAAAATCCCTTCCACAGGTCATCCATGACCAAACTAAGAATTAGTGCTCATGTGTTAGGAATAGAAACTTGAAGACATAAAAACATTGACATTTCAAAAAGAAAATATCAGTTTTGTCAATTAAACGAAATAGAAAATGAAGAGCACTTCCTTCTTAAATGCGGTCTCTATAAATACGAAAGAAATGAGCTTCTCAAAAATTTGATGCTACCTCCAAAACTTCCTGACAAAGAAAAAATAGTTGCAATACTAAACAATGGTAGTAAAAAATTAGCTCCTCAAATTGCTAAGTACATACATGATTGTTTTAAAATCCGAGAGAACAACTTAAAAAAAGTACTACCAGCTGCCTCAAAATAAATAAAAACATTTACTTTAATTTATTATATTTTATTAATAACTTTGTTTTATACTCTTTTAATCTCATTTTTTCCATTGCTATATCTTTATTGTATTTTATAATCAAAGTCCCATAGAGGATGCGATAACGATAAAGATGATTATTATTATTACAAATTAAAGGACGGTGGTCGTCGCGCCACGCATGCGCGAGATCTCGAGGTTTCATATTAACAAAGATTTTGACCAACAAACTTCAACTAGGTCATTTCGTTGGTGATTGGAAGGTATCGAAGAGTCATCAACGGCAGTTAGTGCACGTTGTGCCCAGGTCGAAACTCGTACTTTCATCTATTTATGATTCCCATTAAAAGAGTGCATTGAATTGTGGGAAAATCAATGTTTATCAACACAAATGTAGCACATGCGCAGCGCGACGACCACGCTTTAAATGACTTCGGCATCTCGCAAACGCGTTACATTACATTTTGCAAATCATTTTAGTTAAAAAAAAAACATTAGGTAGTATGACATGACAGTAAATGGCGGCCAGAAATGCTTGTTTACACTATAAGCCTTCGTGTCCCACTATGATATGTTATTGGATTTTCGTCAGCTATGGTTTCTATATTCACACAAATACGCATTCTGTGGACCCATGGAGGCATGTAGCATTCTGACAGGGAAATGAAGAGAAGTTCACAGAGGTCCTGGAACACTGATATGCAGTAAAAGCGCAGTAATATTTGTCAGTAAACTTTATTGTAAACTTAAAATCAAAAGTCGGGTATAAGATATGGAACAGATATTTTCGTTTGTCAGACATTCAAGAAACCCATAACAAATTCAAATCTATCACGTTTGTATTAGATAGTCAGTATTTCGGACTTATATTACGAAAACGATAAAATTGAAATATTCTGCAAGCAGTTACATTGCCCAGTGCACAGCGCTGAACGTGAGTTAATTTGCATAAATTAATACATACCACGTGATATTAAAATTACCATTCTAATGTTATTTACCGAGAACCCCATCAATAGGTCAGTCAAATTATGAAAATATTGGCCGACCCATAATAAATTTAAACAACAAAAGATATTTCAGCTATTTTGTAATAGTGAAACACATAATTCAAAAAGTTGAGAATATCGAACGATATGCCAATTGTAATAGACCCCTTTCATAAGTCGAGTGCCCTCAAACACTTCCTGTTTCAGAAGAACTAAAAACAAACAAAAAATGGAAAGGATATGAAACATATATGTTAATTTGAATGAAATTTATAAAAAAAATAACAAAATATCGAAAGAATATATAGTTACATGTGAATCTTAACATTGAACAATTTGGGATGGCCCATACCTAATTTGCATATTTAGAAAAATAATTGTAAGGAATAATTGGGTAAAAAATACCAACCTACTCAATAAACATCCTGTGATATACCAAATGAAATGTATTTTAATGTAGTGTTAAACTTTTATTTTTAACATTCGGCGACTGATTTTTTTTCAGGAACTACTAAAACAGGAAATGTATTTACTTTATTCAACACCAAAATATTGTATACTAAAGTAAATGTATGCGGAATTCTATTCCGAAAACAGTCAAGTAACTGAATATATAGATATTTAGTAACTTATTTACTCTAATAGCCAATAGAATATCTACTAAGACCAGCACTTTACAGCATCGAGTCAGCAGACAATCAACCGATGAATTTAAATCAAACTAAGAGGTTAAAGGGCGGTAGTCGTCGCGCCACGCATGCGCAAGATATATGGGTCTCATATAAACAAAGATGGCGACTTTGACTGTTAGGCAGATCATGGAGGTAATAAGATTCTTATTACGTCCATGGGCAGATCAACGAGTACAAACTGAGACGTTTCCAAGCTTCAATTAGGTAATTTTTAGGTGATTGGAAGGTATCGAAGGAGTCAGCGTTGGTAATCAGTGCAAGTCGCGCCCAGGTCAAACCTCATACTTGTGATTTCCATTTGAAGAGCGCATTGGATTGCTGGAATATCAATGTTTATCAACAGAAATGTCGCACATGCGCAGCGCGACGACCACCGCGCTTTAATGAAATGTGTTATTACCAATAAATGAAACGAAAGGAACTTGCATCACTGCTTTTTCACCTAAGAAGATAGATATGTTTATAGTTTACACGTGACAGCAAATAAAATGACGTCAAGGAATATACTCCACACACGAGGAGACTGTCTTCTATAAAGTAGTATGAAAGAGCATACATATAGCACAAGTGAAAACAATTACATTGTCATAGCTAAACAAGAAATTCCAACTCCAGAAGGTATTACTAGTAAATTGAAACTATTGAAACTATTTCTATCTTTAATTGTATTTTAGAATTAGATTTTACATTGGAATACATGGTTGAATATTTTCTGAGATAATTACATGTATGCAATTATTTAACCTAATAATGAATAAAATAAAAATTACCACAACCGCAACTTATCTTATGTTATGTTTTTACAGTCCTTAAAGTACTAAAAGCGAATTAATGATTTGTATGGTAATTTTACGATAAAATTGATTAATATTAATGCTATATTAATATTAACAGAGATATTTCAGTGACACTTTTTAAAGCTGATTGCAAAATACATTTTTGCATAAAATATTTAGCATATTTTGAATAAATTAAATTCTTTGTGTTTTTTTTTTGAAATCATAATTTTCATAACCTTGAAAAATGTTATTAAATATCATTTCTTTTGATATATTACATATTGTTTTGTGGCAGGATGATCAATACGAATATGTCATTCTTTTAGGCAAATATGCAAGTTAAGGGTGGACATAATTTCTAATGTTTTCATATTTTTTATTTAAAAAAAAATTATGGTAGACCCAATAATACAAAAATAAAAAATCAATATTTCTTATATCGAGGCACATGGAGTTATGACATGTACAGATAATAATATTATACCAATAACAAAACATCTATTCTTAAATCTGTTTTCAAAATATTTTTCTGCATAAAAATAACTTTAATCTCGGTATGTTACTTAACTTGTAGCTTAGCATGTATGCTCGGATATAGAAAAACCGATACCGATATGTTTTGTAGCATTGTTTGGCTAGCGAATTGTATCATAAGTCATTTCGTCAACAAAAATGAATGCAATTAAAATCCATGAATGTACATCGTCTACAATTATACCTAATGTTTTCACTATTTCTTTATACACTCTATGTTAAACGAATTTCTCCAGCATTGTGATGTCTACACTGCATGTAGTTTTAAAAAAACAGTATGACAGGAAAAAAATATTACTCGAAGTGGACTTAATAAAATCAGAATCTAAAAGAAGTCCGGGAAGCAATTCGCCATGATCGTAAAATGACACACAAATTTAAACAAAAATGAAATCACATTTGTCTAATCCTTCAGTTAACTACCAATTACAAACACAAATTATTTTATTTTGTCTACCTATCTTATTTATATAATAACTTGTTTTTATAATAAAATAGCTGTTACGTCATTGTTTAGTTTCCCGCATTCCCACGTATTTTGTTTTTTGCTATTTTACCAAATATAAAGTTTTTTTTCAATTTAAGTTTCTAATGCTGGATACTTCCAGTAACATGTCTCAATGCATTTATGTCATTTCTTATATTTGACACCTATAAAAAGGCCATTTATTATGGTAAACATTAGGGTAAATTGAAATGTATTTTAGGAATTATAATGGTCACATAACAAAGAAAAACATACACTCACTAACAAAATTCACAACAGCTAACGAACAATAATTTTAAAATATAAAAATGCAGAATTCAAGATATTTGTAATTAGAATAACGAAAATTTAATTTAATAAAAAATTGAAGGATGTGTTGCTGTCTTTTCAATAAAATGTGCCAGTGGTATGTGGATCATAGTGTTTTAAATGCTAATATATTGTTTGTATGTTTGTTAATCAGACAATTTTCAGGATTTTAATGCACAAAACGAGCACCACATGGAAATGCACCCTAGTCACACAAAGCGTTGTTGAACGCTAAATTGTAAATTGCTCATTAATTCATCAAATTTCAAGTCCGTTTTACTAAATCCTTAGATTTTCTTTTTTTATTCTTGCTTTAAAGAATACAAGACCGTGACCAACATGACCACGACGTCTGTCAATTACTGCAAAGCAGGTGTATATGCCAATTAAGATGTAGAATTCAAGAATCCATAACAAACAAGACATTAAATGACTATGTGTGTAATTCATATTCAAATTAGTACTATAATG